TCTGATCATTTTTATTGTTATCACAGGAAATGTAAATATCCCCTGTGATAGCAAAAGGCAGTGACAGGTACTCTTTTCTGAGATATCTAGGGTCTATTAGACTCTAGATCTCTCCTCTGCCCTTAAAACATCTGATCACACCAAGATCGGTGTGATCAGATATTTTCCCAATTTTAAAATGGCGCTGTTTATATCTGGCGAAACGGAAATGATTAAATGCTTGTAGCTTCTAGTCTCTTAGACTATAGAGATGATTGGAGGCATTCCAGTCTCAGATCAGCTCTATTGTCAGCCAGCGGAACTACATTATTGGGTTCCCTGGTGGGACAGCAGAGCCCAAGAAAATCTTGGAAAGCTGCAGGAGGGGTGCGGGAGTCCCTTCCCGTTGCTTGTAAAAGCGATTTGGCAGCTAATTAGCGGCTAGGATTGTTTTTACATGAAAGCTGTAGCCTGTAGCTGCAGGCATCATCCCAGTATAACCATAAGTCCAGTGACATACCAGTACATTGCTGGTCCATATTGGGCATATATGTAACAACAGAGAACATGGACATATGATGAATCAGGTGTGTGTGGACTAATATGACCGCAATTGATTCTTTTTTGGAATGCCCATGTTGAGGGTTAGGCCCAAAAAGTTTTAAATTTAGATACTGTGATAGGTTTCCATGCGAATTGTCTGGCAAGAGCTGAATTTGGGTGGGCATATATTGTTGTGTGTATATATTGCTTTGGCCCACAATCAATTGATACAAATCTTCCTTGAAAAACAGTGGAGGGGCTAAACGCTACTGCTGGCAGTGAATGGGGCTGATCCTGCTAGCACTGTGTTTTTGGGAACACTATACAAAGGAGACACTAGTATAGTTGTGTTCATGATCGATATATTGATCTGTACGAACACTATACTAGTAATGGTGGTTAACAGCGACCTATAGCATGAGTGCAATAGTGTGCGGGCAATCTAACACTAGCTGACCCTGCTGGGAGGGGCACTAACTGACCCTGAAGCTATCTGATGTCGCTAGTGGCAATAATGCAGTGTCAAGTGACAAATTCTACATACTGATATTGTACTAATGGCACTGACTGGGTAACCAAAGGGTTAATAGGGGCGATCAAAGAGTTAAATGTGCTAATCTAATATAGTGCTTTAACTCGGCATAGGGAGCAAAGGAGGACACACGCATGTGCACGCACACCCGGAAATAGAAAGCGATGGAAGATTACGTCACTTTGCCCAAAGCCGCCGCTCGCCCTTGCCCTGTTAGAGATTGTTCCTTGACACTTTGATGCATGTGCATAAGGCCCATTTTTTTACTGAAGAACATAAATTGAACCTGTCAACCATTTAAATTTTTTAAAAGTAAAAGTTGTGCTGTTCTCCTCATATTTGTTATTTAACTGTGCATTGTATCACCAATTCTTATTTCACCACGTCTGTTTCTATGTCTTGATCTGTTGCTGCCATCTGCTGGCCAGAATTTGCATGCTGCATGCCTCTGTTATTGCTAGTAAAGTTTTTCTCTACTGGGCGTGGTTTTAGGCAAGCCTTGGTTCTGGTCACTTCCTGCAACCATTTTATGTGCTTTATAGCTGTGTGACAGGACATTCAATACCCTGGGCTTGTGAAGGCATCAGTTTTTGACCAGCAGTTAGCTTCAGGAAAGATATCACAGGACAGCATCAATACCTCTACTACCTTACAGTATTGTATCACTGTTTGTCGCTGTATTTGGATCAAATAAACCCACGCTGATTTCATTCCCGTGTATACGTTTGGATCCGTCTAACCTGAGCATCTGCCGGTCCGGTCTGCTCCACTGCTTGGATACGAAGGTAGGAAGTTACACAGCCATTATCAGTTATACCTTCATTCGCCTTCATGTGGGGACAGAACAAAAGTCCTGTCTGAGAGCAGTTACCACAAGAAGTATACTTGTCTCGGTATGCTTCTCCTAAAGTATTTTTTTAATTTTTACTAGAGTATGAGTGAGAGATTTGTTGTGACAATTATCATTCTCCTGTCAAAAGTTACTAAATAGCCAACAAGGACACTCTCACTGGACATGGAAGTAGAAATTGGCAGCAGAGCACATTGCCAACAAGGACACTCTCACTAGACATGAAAATAGAAGTTGGCAACAGACCACTCTGAAATCTGCTGAAAAGGAGGTGCCAGCAGTTATCATACCTGGTCAGTGGGATCACCTTAATGAGCCTCCATAGCTGCAGAATCACAGGAGCTGGTGCTCTGCTAATACAGAGCAGTCAGATGTGGCTCCTCACACTTGGCAACTTTTTTATTTCCATTTTCTTTTAGCCCTTTTCGCTTTGATAAACATGTAGCACCCTCTAGTGCAGTGGTTCTTAACCTTTTTGGAGGTACTGAACCCCACCAGTTTCATATGCGCATTCACCAAACCCTTCTTAATTGGAAAAATAAAATATGATTTTTAAAATTCAAAACATAGGTATATATTTATACATAGGTACACAAAATGAACAAAACCATTAAGAACAAAGAACAAAACCATTAAAACATGATTTTCACACAAAAACAAAATAATGAATATTTACCGCAAATCAGTGTGACTTCTGCTGTTGTCTTTCAGAGGCCAGTTCAGAAATGCGCGGCATTACCTTGGCAAGTGCCACTCTCATGTCATTTTCGCAACAAAGTCTGTTCCTTTTCTTCGTCTTTATGTCCAGCATCCTCGAAAAGGATTGCTCGCAAAGATATGTTGTAACAAACGGTATAAAAATTCATCCCCCATAGTAATTCATCCCCCATATAGTAATTCATCCTCCATAGTAATTCATCCCCCATATAGTAATTCATCCCCCATAGTAATTCATCCCTCATAGTAATTCATCCCCCCATATAGTAATTCATCCCCCATATAGTAATTCATCCCCCATAGTAATTCATCCCCCATATAGTAATTCATCCCCCATAGTAATACATCCCCCATATAGTAATTCATCCCTCATATAGTAATTCATCCCCCATATAGTAATACATCCCCCATATAATAATTTATCCCCCATATAGTAATTCATCCCCCATATAGTAATTCATCCCCCCTATAGTAATTCATTCCCCATATTTATTCATCCCCCATATTAAGTCCCCAAGTCCCCCCTGTGTCAATTCACTTACCTTTGCTCCGCGCGTTCCTCTCGCCGTATTCCCGCGCCGTTCCGGTCTTCAGGGCGGACTGTGAGAGGAGCCTAGCTCCTCTCACGTTCGTCACGCTGCCCCGCCTACACACATCCTGATAGCCAATCACTGGCTATCAGGATGTGTGAGTGGCAGCAAGACTGGCCAATCATTGCATTTGAGCACGCTGCCCTGGCTGTTTTTTTTTTTGGATCACGCTGCAGAGTCCCTGCCGCCCGAGAGGCTTACCGACCACTGGGCTAAGCGATGTTGCGTGACCACCTGCAGCCAATGATGGACAAGCGGGGCATGTCATCACAAATCATATGAGTCGGGTGTGGGTCACCTCCGCCGAACCCACGAGACTGACTCACCGAACCCCTGGGGTTCGATCGAACCCAGGTTAAGAACCACTGCTCTAGTGTGCTACTAGAACAGTGTAGAGTATTATATGTAAAATCATTGTGTATGATTCATGATAGTTGCGTGAGTCATGCGATTAAGTTCGGATGACTCAACAGGTTGCGACTTTATCGCCTCCTCCTGACGCTGGAGGACCATAGAACCTTTGGTAGAAGTCGGTAAGAAGGAAGGGATGGAGGCCTAATCTGCATATTCATGGGGGGCCCAGCCAATCCCAGGTTTGGATACCCTGGCAGAGTGGTGGACTGGCCTATAACTATAGGAAGGTCAGGCTGACAGAGGAGTTGGGTGGAAGATGGAGTGCTGAGGAGACTGTCGGTGCCTAGGAGGGGTCCCTTAGTTCTGGGGGGGGGCAGCTTCTAGGCTGAGCTCAGGCTGGCTCAGGAGGATGCATTCTGCAGAGAGGTGCAAATGGGATCAAGGCCTGGAGCAGCAGGGAGCAAGGAGGACTGTGTGCATACAGCAGCACACTTTGGGATCTACAGGGGGAAAAACTGCCAAATGTAGCAAGCTTTCTGAGGACAGCACTGGGCTCATTCCTTAATCCTTGTTCCCGGATATCTTCCGAGAAGCTAGGAGGGCTGGTAGTGCTTGCAGGCTGTGGAGCTGGGAACAGCTCCATAAGGGGAGAGAAGACTTCTCTGAATGTAGCTACAAGAAGTAAATTGATTTTTGAGGGTCTGCTAGCTAGCTGCTACTAATCCACAACAACTGCCAGCTTTCAGTAAAAGAACAGTCCAGGATCTGCCTATGTACATAGAAGGAAAGTGTCCCCCTTCCATTGTTTCAAGCCAAACTGGGCATCCCATAATCCATATTCCCCATCCAAGTTGATTTCCACTAATAAAATAACAAAACTATGCCATGGAATGATCATTGTCTTCAGATGTAAGTTGATGCAAGAGATACCTGCTGCCTGGCTGTGCAGAGAGAGGATTAGGGATACCCACAACACAGCAGTCCTCACGAGGGTAGCGCTACAAATATATTCTAGGGATAGCTTTACACAAATGCAGGGAATCTCTACAATCTCAGCATTAGGTTTTTTTCATTTAATAGGACCTCTCATTCTTTGCACTTGAAGGTGCACCATACCACAGTTATCTGGGAAAGACTTTGGATTTGCACTTTTACCTACACCTGAGACAACCAGTGTCCGCTAATAGGTAACTATAAATGTGTGAATGAAACAACCGGACTTGCACATGGTAATCCATGGGGACATTTAACATTAACAATCAAAAGTCAGCAGTGAAAATATAGGCTTAGAACATGGCAGATGACTTTTGCTTCCTGACCTCATACTAAAGAGACCTCAGGACTTTAAAGATGTTGCAAGAGTGTGTCATGGTGTAGAAAGGTGAAATGTGTTCAACACAGAGCAGAATAATAACTTCCAGACATTCAAAATGTAAGGGAAACAGGTGCAAACAATTGAGCCATCTGTCAGTAAGCTGCACTGATCGCCTCTGATATTTTAATCATCTACTGATCCATGTGCAACATTGACAACATCTCGGTCATAGCTAACTGCTGCAAGCACATCTGCAGCTCTGAGTTCTGATCTGTCCATCTCAAGCATTATTAAAGAACCCCACATTTAAACAAAGCATGATTGCTACAATTTCCGACAAACCACCGGATGAAGCTAAAATGTCAATATATGCTAATATTCTGCTACCGTGTGCTCATCCACTGAGCGGCTATTATCCTGTTAACTTGCTTGAAATGAAGCAGGCACATCCAGTGTCCATGTCCCTGGTTTTCATGTTATTACTAATACTGTGAACAGGCAGTGTGTATAGGGATACCCCAAGCAAACAAGCAGGACCTGCACTTGAGATGTGCTTCATGGTTTTGATACGAATGCAGACAAAACATTTTTTCAAAGGTTCTTTCAGTTTTGAATATTCCTATTCATCAATAGTTTATATGAGTTGTGAAAATAACTAACACAATGTATGTTCCAAGGGCGTCTTTTTCTAGAGCTACATATTTTCAAAGAAACATTCGGTCTGACATCCAACTGAAAGTCTCTCCTACAGCAGCTATTCACTTATATATACATTCTGTATCAGTCACTCTAAATGCTAGTAAAATAAAGATAGACTGTAGTTGGAAAAAAAAACATCATAAATGGCTTTTTAACTGGTGTCCATAATGGTTTTTAAGATGACACTATAAACTTGCAGAAGAAGCAGTAGCCGAGAACTCAATGGTAAAACTAGTGCAGAAGCAGTAGAGCTTTTAGATGACTGCAAGTTTCATGAACTACTTGGCCCCTCTTTCTTCTACCATAACTTCCCCCAAAAAACAGATAAACACTACATTACATTAGTATTAACTGGTCATTGCAATAATTTTATTAAAAAACACAAAAATGAACCAAAATATAACAAAATGTAATTTTAATATTGAAGTAACCAGGAAAGGGAGTCTTTGGTCCCAATATGTTTTAACATATATGTTTTTTAACATATGTGTATAAGGAGTTTTGTATGACCCCTCATTGGGATATGATGTACTTCAATTAAGTTCACATGCAAATATCATACATGGAAACTGGTGCCTTGATATTGGGAAATAAATAAAAAAGATTGTATATCTAAAAAGGCTTCTGTTACCAATAATTAAGATACATCAAAGATTAAAATCTAAAGTTTTATTTTAGGCCATCAGCTAAAATAATCAAGAAAACATATATATGTATGTAAAATATATCAAACACTAAACATTGCCAATCCAGTTAGTATACCGAAATATAAGTTTAGATACATTATATTGAGGAAAAATGAAAGCTATGTAAAAAAGAAGTCCACTTGCACCTATCTACAATCCAAGGAATTCAACTTTTTTCAAAGTTGTATGGATATGCAATGTCCATAGTTGTATATAATTAGTACAGCAGCAATAAATACTCCCAGAAAAACCTCTGCCTCTGTGTCCCTTATTGTCAAAAACATACATAGACTATATATGGCAGTCAATAAGATCAAATGAAGATCTCTGTAATGAAGCAATTATAAACATAAACATGGACATAATAAATCATCTAATGGTCCTCTTTCCTTCTCGCATGGGTAACATTTACTAATAATTTACAGGCAAATAAAATTATCTAAGATTCTTGGTTGAGAGGAATGTAATCCCTTTTCCAAAATTAAAACTTCCAGACAGCGAATGCAAGAATAGATTAACCACTTTTTGCTGTGTATCTAATTTGTTTTGTATAAAAAATGATCCAAGATCCATTCTTTGGGCTGGTTTGGATTCAGACATTTGAGAACCTATCGGGAGATTTCCAGTGTCATTCGATGATGTTTCTCTGATCAGTATAGGAATTTTTTTTGTGCTCCTGTAGATGATGCACCATAAGACTAGGGACTAAATGAGGATGCACATGTTGGTGCTTGGTGTGGATTTTCATTTCCCTCATTCGTGTTATTATTATTATTATTATCTGTACTGTTTTTTAGCATGTATGAAAAGGGTTCTTGTGAGGCCCTGAAAGCTGCACTATATGAACTGTACCATGATCTTAAATAAAAATTTGGTGTGGCAGCATCCTATTTTCTCTTTTTTTATACCAATTGACCAGAATGTTGTTGCTACTGCACCATTCAACATTAGACTTTTCCCGGGAAGAGCAATGGGAATATTGGAGTTGATTAGTGGCTATGAAAAGATACAGAGGGAGAAAGCAATTCAGAAAGATGGTGTGCAGGCAGAAGACGGTAGAAGACTTCCAAAGCAATAACACTAAAGACAGAGCAATCATGGTGAATCATTCCCAGTGAGGTCTACCAAATAAGATTGCAATAAAGAAAGTATCCATTTTTATCCCTCTCCAGCCTTGTTTTTCGGTTTCCTTGGAAAAGGGGAGGCAGCATATGGGTACGCTAATTAGTAGCCACCCATTCCAAAACATATTGCCATATTTGTGTTGCTGTACAAAGACATTGCTGTGAACATATGCAAAAAGAAATGTGTCTTGGAAAGGTCACGAATACTAAAGAAAGTCAAGTGTTCTACCAAAAACTATAATTGACTTTAATAAATCTCTCTTTATTTGTCACTTCCAGTTCCCATGACATTGCTTGTAGGAGGAAAGAGGTGTATTTACTAGGAGAGATGAGTGGTTAGAGGAATTATTGTTGCAGTAAAATATAAGTGTCAATTTCCAATACACCTTAGTAGTGGAGTGTTACTGTCCTGCCAGAACTTTCAAAGCTCCTACTCCAGAATATCTGCCAGAACTTCCAATGGTACTTGAAGAATCACTGCCAGAACCCACAATCATACTCACAGAATCCCTGGTAGGACTTCCAAAGTTTCCAGTAATGACACTGTGTGTGTCTTCTGAACAGAAGGGCATTTAAGCTCCATCCTTGCTCTGTTTTATCATTAGCTACCTTCAGGGGCAGACTGACATCTAATGGGGCCCCCCGGCAATAGGGGATCATGGGGCCCCTGTGGCCTTTCCCACACTCAAACTACACCCAAAAAAGCCTATGAAAGGTACCAGGGGCATCTCATGGGGCCTCCTACTGACCCTGGGCCCTTGGGCAGTGCCCGAGTACCCCAATGGTCAGTCTACCCCTGGCTACCTTAAACCTGAAGAGGTATAATGCTTGCCTATCAGTTACATGTTTTTGCCAGCCCTCTCTTATTTGCTGTTTGCCTGGACCTGTGCTTGGACCTAACTACTCTATCACCTCTATCTGCTTTGGCCCTGCCTGAACCTGACTACTCTCTTGTCTGCAGCTTTGTGAATAGTTTCCACACCATTCCAGCCACCCCCTTGGTGGATAGTTCTGGAGGGTGCAACCTGTAGTCAGTTTTCACTGAAGTAAACCTGAATCACTAAGGTTCCTGGCCCATCTCCACTCTGAGCTCTGGTGAAGACAAACTGCCATGTAGATTCTGTGCCTTGGTTGAACTTTTGCCACCTTCCAGGAGGCACCATAACAGGTGTGACTTCCTGATGTATTAGGAACTGACACTTCTGCCTTATTATGATTTTCTTAGGAGCTCCATAATACAGCTTCAAACATACTCGAAAGGTATTTGTATTAGAATGGCTTGAACAAAATGGATATGTTTTCTTTTCTCATCCTCACATTTTGGTGCCCTCTAATATGTCATACAAAGGGTACAACCTGTCTGTACAGGACTTTTCATACAGTCACTGCTGTATTACATCAGCCCAATCCCTTTTGTCAGTAATCTGATGATGTGAGAACTAATGTTTGTGATGCCGATATTTGTGATATTCCAAAACATACACTGCGTACAGAAAGCCAGATGTAAAAAAAATGTCAGTACTAATATGTTTCTCTCAGATTCAAACCTGACCTGGAAATGTGAATAAGATATAGCAAGCAGTGAGAAAGGAAGTAATAGGGCACGTGCTCCCAAAAGTTCATCCCCTGTGTCCCTGTGATGTGTTTTCTGGATTCTTTTGTACTAAATTAGGCTCCATGCACATTGGGCTTAAAAAAAAACGCCAGCTCCATTGGCAGAACAAAAAGTTGATACAGATCGTCTTTGTACACAGTTTAGGCGAGTTTAGGAGAGTTTAGCATTTTTTTCTGCTAGAAAACGCCAATCAAAAGTACAAACCAGAAGGGGTTTTTTTTCCCTACCTCTAAACGTTATGCTCAAAATATGCCACTAATTGTCCTAATGTGCATGGACACATAAAATAACACTGAGCTGCTTCTACAGGCAAAACACAAAACTCATGTAGAAGCAGTGATTTTTAAGCCAGTGTGCATGGAGCCTTACAGAGAACTCAGGTTATTTCCGTGTAGTCTTATACTTATACATGCTCTTACTGTTGCAGCTTTGTGATTCCAGAGGAAACACAGATGGGATCTGGCAGGAATGTGCACAGATTTACCTTTAAATCACAGCACAATCGTGAACATAGGCACCATTTCCTAAAATTTGAGGTTTTATTAGTAACCAAATCATTTTATTTATCATCTGTTGACTGATTGTAGATATATAGCCCAATGCATCGATTAATTTATTTATTATTATTAAAGGTACTTATATAGTGCCGTCAATTTACACAGCGCTTTACATGAAACATGTCACACGAAACATGTCAGGGGAATCCCCTATTTTGACGCTGTTTACTTCCAGATGTTTGATTCTTATTTTTTTTGAAGCTTTGATGGAAAAACCTTTCTACTGTTGTACATGTGAGTGTCCTGCAATTTTAAACAATTTTTAGATCTAATAAACGAGATTTCACTATTAGCACCATTTTGCCTCCCGGGCTCGTTATATCTCGAGCTAACTAGAGAGGAGTGGATCCTGGAGTCTGAACGGCGGTGGACCTTCTGGTGTGCTTATGATGACCCCCAAGTGTGAGTGACACCATTCCTGGGAGTCTGCTGCAGCCCTATATGACGCCATTCCGGTGACCAGACCCTGAAGTCTCCACAGATTATATACATACAACGTCTAGTTTGTATGTACTTCTGGTAAGTGCATTATTGTACTATCACCCTATGGAGTAGCCAGGCGTATATCACATCACCTTGACCTCTGCAATTTTGGAACGCTTTTTCATTAACAGGACTTCTAATTTGTTATATGAAAGAACAATTTATTTTGAACATTCTGCTTGCACTTGATGGTCAATATAATTTCAGCGCTGCATTTCTTAGATTTTATATATATATATATATATATAGTACATTTACATCAGTCCTTAACCCTCAAGGAGCGTACAATCTAAGGTCCCTAACTTACATTCATACATACTAGGGCCAAATTAGACAGGGCCCAATTAACCTACCAGCATGTCTTTGGAGTGTGGGAGGAAACCCACACAGGCACTGGGAGAACATGCAAATGCTTTGCATACCATCACTCTACCCTGTTATTCATCTTAGCTGCTCAGCTTGCTAGATCTTCATGACTGCTTATGTCTTTATCTGTTGAGCAGGTCTAAATGAAAGGAAACCTACTGTACATAGCCTGGTAGTGAACAACCCATGCAGGATATACTGCTTTAAAAGCTGTTTATTAAAAGTTTGACAGCATAAACAGTTACACACAACATGAACACAACAATGGTTCACGGCGATAGAACCCTCGCAGGGGTTATGACATAATATACTCTAGATACAAGGATTTGACAGTTCAGGATAAAGGAGGGTTACATCAGTGAATATAAGGCATGGCTTAGTTTGACCTTAGTATCAGTATGGGAACCCGTCAGAGTATATAAGGAAAGTAACTAGACAATGAAACCTAGACAGTGAAATAGGGATGTTCCTTAGGCAAGGAGAGACAGATACAATCATAGAAATAAGTGAAATGCATCTTCCCGTGGACATTTTGGTAGCGATGGAAGGCTCAGCTAACCATTTAGACCATACTTTGTCATATTTCTTAGGGCAGCCTCTGTTGGTACACATATCTTAGTAGAGCGGTAGACTATTGTTAACTGATTGTTTCAGAATATGAGAGGTGAAGGTGATGAAATAGTGGAATGGGGTTTTTTTTCAATACAAAGCTATGGCCTTTCTCGCAAGCTAACCAGAGTATGCTCAGCTACCATGGGATTTGTTTATGATGAAGAAAAAATGCATCACTAGGTTTGGAGTGACTTGTAGAAATGTTAACATTTGTCATTGGTTCCCATAATTCTTTCACTTTTTCAAAAAAGAAGGCAGGATAATAAAGCCGTCATTTCTCCATTATATTTCTTCTCATGCAGCTTTTGCTGGCTGGATTTATGATTTGGCATTTGTAAAAGATTATTATTAGAAGAAATTTAAAACCTATTCTTTTATGTAAGCTTTTCTTTTGCCGAATCATCTGTTGAGTTGCTAGAGTGAAACCAATTGATCACAAAAGACCTCATTTTCTCTTTTGTTCAATATAATTTCCTTGTTTTCTTCAAAAGACAAATGGGAATTAAAATACAAATGTGCAAAAACTTGTCTATCGCAGACAGATTGTTCTGCCAATCTAATGGTCTAGTCTACAGCGCCTTGCACTGTGTTCACAGTGGAGCAGAACAGTGAGTTGTCTTATTCCAGACAAATAGATAAATGAATAGACGTATTTCCCAAGTGCCTTGTGTTTTAAATATACACTAAATGAAACAACACGTGTCTGTAATAGATTTACCACAGAAACGTCACATTTCTCTTTAAAGCATTTTTTATAAAATAAATACTTCAAGAAAACTTAAAACCAGAAGAAGTTGCTAGTAAATGTGTATTATCAGTTGGGGTGTTAGAGGTAGAGATCCTGGGCAATTGCACCAGGGCTCAAATTACCGAACAGACAGGGTAGTCCTGGGAACATCTGGATTAGGGGAAAAGACAAGGGTTACCCTATATTGATGATTGAATGTTTAACAATCTCCAGTTAGGACCACCAAAAATTAGCCCCAACCCAGGGGGGCAAATGCCCCCTACCCTCAATCCAGTCTTCCCCTGCAAACAAACCTATGGCTGATTAAAACCTGCTGTTTTTCAATACTTATGTGCTGTTCTTTTAACATTTAAAACTGCTTCATGTGCCTCATATTTATGAGTGACAGATATTTTTTTCTCTTGCATCAACCACACCATTCCTCTGACATCTGGGTTGTCACATATGCAACAAAGTGTTAATGTAATGTAGTGTAGTGTTAATGTAATTTTAAGACACCACAGATGTAACATTGTGGTACTCTGGATGCAGCTAAAGCTCTGATAATATTATTACACTGGTTGCTGACTTCTATTATAATGAACTAAGTGAGTGACACAATACAACACCAATGTTATCCAACAAGACCAATAACACATTTGCTATCCACTCATTGAGTTCAGTGTTTTTTCACTAGCAGTGCATATAGATATACTGTTAGCACAATTAACACTACAAAAAAGGTGACCTCAATCCATAACATTATCTACACACTTTCAGTTCACTTTACAGAGAGTGAGAACCAGTACGCAGTGGGCATTTCCAAAAATCTCAATCTTCCGATGACTTATTCTGTTGCTGGTGAAACACTCAAAGTAGCAAAATCACCCAAGCAAGGGAACCACCACTTCCTCTAATATCATACCTCCCCCACTGGCCTTGAATGCTGCAAAATTTTCACTCGCTAGAGATGGAACACAGGGACATGGTCCTTATGTTGTTCTAATATGCAGTAGGGGATAGGTGTGTGCTGCTGTTCACTTGTATTCTCTCCCTGTCAGAGTAGAAATGTCAGCTCTCTGTGGAGCTGTAAGGCCCCTATAGAGGCTGATCTGTCTCTTGCTTGAACTCATTATTATTATTATACAGGATTTATATAGCGCCAACAGTTTGCTCAGCGCTTTACAATATAACAGGAGACAATACAGCAACAATACAGTTCAATACAAGAGGGATAGGAGGGCCCTGCTCCTTGGAGCTTACAATCTAGGAGAACTCAGGGATAATTGCTAACACACTATCTGGGCTGTTAACAAAATTTTTCTCTCATGTAATCCTAAGAGATCCTTTAAATTGTAACTCCACTTTCATGGGGAAAAAATAGCAAATAAAAAAAATAATATTGCGTTTACAACTAAAGTCATATTGTAATTGAATGTTATTAAAAATGACCTTTCCTTTTTAATCTGCAGACCTGTAATTTTCTGTAAAATGCAATGCAATATGACTACCTGAAGGTGTTCTGTACACAGCTGGTGTACAGAATGCCCCCTGAAATGTCATTTCTCACTTGTGCAATTGGCTTACTGATTTTCCCAGAAGTCTGTACTAAGATTCAAATCAGATTTTTGGCATCCCCTGCAACAAAAATGTCATTTTTGGTGAGATACTCCATATGGGAAATCAAGTCTAAAGGGCTGCAGACCCTGCCACTTTCCTCATTAGAACCCTGCAGGTGCAGCAGCTGATTGATAATTATAAAACCACTCCCATAGAGATTCCCAATGCACATGGACACAGACAGACAAACGTCTATTTCTTCAGAAAAACAAAAGGTAGGAATCTGCAAAAAAGTTTGGTAAAATCCTTGCCAGAGGGGAATGGGGTTTTTTTCAACAAAAGTGGAGTTACTCTTTAAAGCTGAACTACAGTGAAATTTACTTACCTCATGCATTGCTATAGCAGGGAACCCCCTTCCATTGAACTGATCCCTTGAAGCTTCTTTTTTTAGCACAATTAGTGGTTACACTTCATGTGCAATTCAGGGTCATCAGTGAGGACCCTGAGGGCCCACCACAACCTGGAGTGTTGGAGGAAAGAAGAGTTTTGGCTGCTGTGTGAGTGAGAAATATGTAAATAAAAGTGTTTATTATTGGTACCATAGGCAAAAACCAGAATTTCCTTGTGGTATGAGGAAGCCCTACTGCAAACATAGGTCTTTACATTATCCTGGAGTTCAGGTTTAACATATGACCAGGGGCAGACTGACCATTTGGAAAACTCGGGCACTGTCCGAGGGCCCGGGGTCAGTAGGGGGCCCCATGAGATGTCCCTGGTACCTTTTTCATAGGCTTTTTTGAGTTTGGGCAAGGACACAGGGGCCCCATGATCCCCTATTGCCGGGGGCACCATGAGTTTTCAGTCCGCCCCTGCATATGACATTTTATTCTTATTCATAGCCAGGAAAAAAAGTGATAGTAAACCAAACTGAGCATGTGCATAAGGGCTACGGGTTCAGTCTGTCTTATCAGCATGGACATTTGAACAAGAGGAGGGGCAGAAAAGTCAGGATCAAACAGCTTTTTTATACAATAAAGAGGATAAACCCCTTAGGTTCCACAGTGAATATAACAAGCATGCTTTACTGCATATACAGACTGATTTTACTGTTGTGGGTTTAGTAACACAAAGCATTTTACATCATTCCATGTAGTATTAATATAACCCCTGCTCCAATTGTATTATTTCCCAATAAGTGGTCAGACACTGTTCACATTGTGGGTGTCAATCTGTTATTATGAGTTGTAGTGAATTAAATATTCTTTACTTTGCTGTGGTTTATGCAATGTAAAAAAGAGTTTGCTCTTTCAATGAGATGATTGTTGAATACTTAGTTTGTACAGTATGGTAATTGTAAATTGTATTAAATAAAATACCCTGAATTCATCCACAGTAAAAAAAAAAAATATACCCTCTACATAAAGAAAAATATATTTTTATTTTCAAACAAATTTCACCCAAGGCAGTTCAATCATCTAAATTGAGAATTTTCACTTCGGTAAAATCTCAACTATTGCAAAATCAATTCTCTGACGTTCTCTGACACATTCTAGTCCATCTTGCCTTTTTAGCTCAAACACTTTTTTAGAATTACACACCTAAAATCACCCCTTCAGAAACAAACTACATTTACTGAATATAATTATCCACCACCAACTAAACTTTTTGTCCCCAAATATTAGCAGCATAAAGCTTACGTGTGTATATACAGTATATGTAAATGTTTTTTTGTTTAGTTGATTTTTTTTTGTACACATTGAATCAAGATTTTTTCCTACAGTATTCCAAAAATACCTAATTATGTTTCTGTTTTTTGTGTGACTGGTTGGGGTTGTAAATTTTTTAGCAGGATAAAACATTTTAGACCAGGCTTTGTTGCCTAACTGCAGTGTATTACACGCAGGGGTCGTCTGGTCCAAGACCCAGCAGTGCTATCCAGTGCTGGATAATTAGACTTGCTGAACATAATTACATATCCTTTGGTAGGTAAAGAAAATACATATTTGTGTATGTTGACTACTTGCTTTGCTGTTTGCTTGAAGTTCATATTCAATTAGCTAGGGAAAGGCAAACATTTCTTAAACCAGTAACTTGTGATTTCCCCATTCTTAAGTTGCATTAGAAAATGTTAATTCATTATGACAAGTCCACTTTAAAAGTTGCTCCTGTTCCAAGTGGCATTAATGTTGAACTCATGCAAGCTCAGACACATCACTTTGTGGGTGGGAATTTTCAGTTTGCCATTAAAACTGATACAGTCGCATTCACAGCTAGTTGGAAGGTACTTTCCAGGTTTGTGACATAAAACCTGATTTAAACAGTGGAAAATGCGTGTGATTAAAGCCTAATAAAACACAAATGTGACTGAGAAAATGACCTCTGCACATGGGCTAAAAACAAGGCTGGAAAACAAGTTTATTCCCAAAGCTAATTTAGATGCAGTTAAAAAGAGAAAACTGTTGTTGTCTGGTTGTTTTGTAGTTGTGGTTTATTTTGTATGTAATTTTGTATGTCATTTATGTCCATCACTACTTCCATTTTATACCCAAACTGCATGATTTTATTTAAAAAAGTAATGTTTATTACTAGTATATTTAATTTCAAGAATACATAGTAAAGGAATATGAAGAGCAATGTTTATTTCAAATGCACTATTTTATTTTTAATAAAATAGTATTACAGATTCTGGAAGTGAAACAGGATACAATACTTTTATGCTTAAAAATGAACCTCTGTGAATTTTAAAGGGCCACACTTATAACAAAAAGTAATATGTTAAAGAACAACTGATGTGTACAACTTTCAAGTATGCAAAGCACCCACACCTGTACAAAAACGTTATATATGATACACCTATATATACTATATTTGCCAAAAGTATTAGGACACCCCTCCAAATCATTGTATTCAGGTGTTCCAATCACCTCCATGGTCCACAGGTGTATAAAATCAAGCACCTAGGCATGCAGACTGCTTCTACAAACATGTGTGAAAGAATAAAAAAGTGCAGCGCTAGAAAATAAATAGATAAAATAAATGAATAGTCATATACTTGATAGGTACTCCAAAGTCAATACAAAGTCCCAAAAAGGAATGGACGGCTTCAGACGTCCATACACACAGATCAATGATGTATATACTGTGGTAAAGATGCAGTTGAAGATGGGTAGATTGATCCCCGGATCAATGAAGATCCCCAGGTCTAAGAAGCATACGTTCCCAAGATAATAAGGAAGCAGTCACAGCTACACCAAAGGAAACCACCACTCCTTCACTTACATCCACGATATCTAAGAGGAGAAACTCCTCCTTCTAAGCCCTATTATACAGGCTTAATAAACGTTTGGTTCACATATCCTGGAACCTACTAGAATTGCTTCAGTATATATCCATCATATACTGAAGCAATTCTAGTAGGTTCCAGGATATGTGAACCAAACGTTTATTAAGCCTGTATAATAGGCTTAGAAGGAGGAGTTTCTCCTCTTAGATATCGTGGATGTAAAGCGAAGGAGTGGTGGTTTCCTTTGGTGTAGCTGTGACTGCTTCCTTATTATCTTGGGAACGTATGCTTCTTAGACCTGGGGATCTTCATTGATCCGGGGATCACATCTACCCATCTTCAACTGCATCTTTACCACAGTATATACATCATTGATCTGTGTGTATGGACGTCTGAAGCCGTCCATTCCTTTTTGGGACTTTGTATTGACTTTGGAGTACCTATCAAGTATATTGACTATTCATTTATTTTATCTATTTATTTTCTAGCGCTGCACTTTTTTTTATTCAGTTCTATGTGAGGATTTTTTGGTTGTCCTATGTGTTCTAGCTGCTCGTCTTTAGAAAGCGCTCACTTTCATTTATTGATTCACATGTGTGAAAGAATGGATCACCCTCAGGAGCTCAGTGAATACAATTGTGGTACCGTGATAGGTTGCCACCTGTGCAATAAGTCCATCTGTGAAATTTACTTGCTATTAACTATTCCACAGTCAACTGTTAGTGGTATTTATAACAAAGTGGAAGCAACTGGGAACAACAGCAACCATGAAGTGGTAGGACGTAACATGACTCTGGTCAGCGCATGCTGAAGCGCACAGTGTACAGAAGTTGGCAACTGTCTGCAGAGTCAATAGCTAAAGACCTCCAAAACTTCATGTGGCCCTTAGATGAGCACAATAACAGTGCGTAGAGAGCTTCATGAAATGGGTTTCCATGGCCCTGAGCAGCTGCATCCAAGCCTTAATCATCAAGTGCAAACAAAGCGTCAGATGCAGTGGCGTAAAGCACACTGCCACTGGACTCTAGAGCAGTGGAGATGTGTTCTCTGGAGTCATGAATTTCGCTTCTCTGTCTGGCAGTCTGATGGACATGTCTTGGTTTGGCGGTTGCTAGAAAAACAGTACTTGCCTGACTGCATTGTGCCAAGTGTAAAGTTTGGTGGGGGGAGGGGTTATGGTGTGGGATTGTTTTTCAGGGGTTGCGCTTGGCCCCAGTTCCAGTGAAGGGAACTCTTAAGGTTTCAGCATGCCAAGACATTTTGGACAATTTCATGCTCCCAACTTTGTGGGAACAGTTTGGGGATGGCCCCTTCCTGTTCCAACATGATTGTGCACCAGTGGACAAAGCAAGGACCATAATGACATGGATGAGCAAGTCTGGGTTGGAGGAATGTGACTGGCCTGCACAGAGTCCTGACCTCAAAACCAATAGAACACACCTTTGTGGAGACTGTGAGCCAGGCCTTCTCGTCCGTCATCAGTGCCTGACCTGAAAAATACGCTTCTGGAATAATGGTCAAACCTTCCCATAGACACACTCCTACAGACCCAACAGTCATGACATGCATGCTGCTGATTCTGTGTCATTGAATCACTAATTGAAAGGGGCATGTTCAAAATAATAGCAGTGTGGAGTTCTATTAGTGAGGTCATTCATTCTTTGAAAAACTGGTGGCAATTATTGCCCTTATTTAAGGAAGGAAGGCAGCAAATGTTGTACATGCTGGTTACAGTGCATTTCTCTCTGAAATTCTGAGGAAAGTGGGTCGTTCCAGACATTGTTCAGAAGAACAGCGTACCTTGATTAAAAAGTTGATTGGAGAGGGGAAAACATATAAAGAAGTGCAGAAAATGATAGGCTGCTCAGCTAAAATGATCGCAAGTGCTATAAAATGGCAACCAAAACCTGAAAGACGTGGAAGAAAGCAAAAAACTACCATTCGAATGGATAGAAGAATAGTCAAAATGGCAAGGACTCAGCCAACAATCAGCTCCAGGAAGATCAAAAAAGGTCTAAAGTTACCTGTGAGTACTGTTACAATTAGAAGACGCCTATGTGAAGCCAAGCTATCTGCAAGAAGCCCCCACAAAGTCCTACTGTTAAAAAAAAGACATGTGCTGAAGAGGTTACAATTTGCCAAAGAGCACATTGACTGGCCTAAAGAGAAATGGTACAACATTTTGTGGACTGATGAAAGTAAGATTGTTCTTTTTGGGTCTAGTGGCTGGAGACAGTTTGTCAGACGACCCCCAAACACTGAATTCAAGCCACAGTACACTGTGAAGACAGTGAAGCATGGTTGCGCAAGCATCATGATATGGGGATGTTTCTCATACTACGGTGTTGGGCCTATTTATCGCATATCAGGGATCATGGATCAGTTTGAATACATCAGAATACTTGAAGAGGTCATGCTGCCTTATGCTGAAGAGGAAATGCCCTTGAAATGGGTGTTCCAACAAGACAACGACCCCAAACACACCAGTAAACGTGCAACATCTTGGTTCCAGACCAACAAGATTGACGTTATGGAGTGGCCAGCCCAATCCTCGGATCTTAATCCAATAGAAAACTTGTGGGGTGACATCAAAAATGCAGTTTCTGAGGCAAAACCAAGAAATAGAGAAGAACTGTGTGGAATGTAGTCCAATCATCCTAGGCTGGAATACCTGTTCACAGGTGCCAGAAGTTGGTTGACTCCATGCAACACAGATGTACAGCAGTTCTCAGAAACAGTGCTTATACAACTAAATATTCATTAAGTGATTCAAAGGAAAGCAAAATCTTCAAACATTTTTCAGTTTATATAGTGAATGTTTGAGTTTGTAAAGAAGAATACAAACACTGCTATTTTTTTGAACAGTCTAATATTCACTTTTCTTCAATTTTTTTAGAGGAACAACACAAATTTGATATATTTTTCTTCATGTTTTGATTTGGAATAGAATGTGTAGTGTTCCTAATGCATTTGTGTGTATGGAAATAAAAGCTATTAGAAGGATTTTGAGCTTTATTCACTTTTTTCAACACACTGCTATTATTTTGAACACAACTGTATATATATATATATATATATATATATATAATAATATATATATATATATATATAAAATTCATATGGGTACAGTGTTTCGTGACCAAGAAATTGGCAGGCAAAGTATCATAGCACTGAAAACAGAAAAATGGCCTTTTGATGAACATATGTTACAGCCTGGTACTCAAGTTTAAATTCTTTTCTTAGGTGAGTTATTAAATATACCTTAAGCCCACTGCAGGCACAGTGGCTTCTACTTTTTCTTTACCTTTAATATTTTCTATAATATATAGCCCATATTTTCAATAATATTCAATTAAATGTTTTTAGTGTTTTTTTAACAATTTATCTGTTTGTAAGTCCCACTGGGTCACTGTCACTAAGAACCGCAGGAACCATACTTGGTTCTCAGCCCCAATGGAATGACTCCCCCTGCACCTTAAGACTGCAGCACAGCAGAGCTAAAAAGAGGAGAGGAAACAAATGTAAAAGCCCCTGTGTGTTGAATCACCTAAAAGACACCAAGATGAGCCCAGTACATTTAACCTAATGAAATCCATTTAGTCATAATTCATAGGTTACTGTGTGAACAAATACTTTTCGGAACTTTAATCATTACCAAGTATTTAAATTACCGATAATGTTTGCAGCTTGTGATTTATGTTAACATATGACAGTACACACTAAGCAATAACTGAATTATAAAATAAGTTCTCTTTATATGTTTTCTGTTTAATCACTTGCTGTCCCACCCAGTAATTTTACTGCATGTGGGTAGCAGGTTGGTAGCACAGCCAGGCACAATCACATATGTGTACGTGCTGATGGGCATGTAGTGCGCCGCTACCATGACCGCTGTGTCCACTTTGGGTGGCTGGGTTATCATGTGATCGCTATGGGTTTCATTCATAACAGCTGTGCATAGTATTGTGATACTGTGATTGTCCCACAGCTATCACATGGTACCTGGTCATTACAGCACATTGTACCATGTGACAGTTTTGAGCAAATCACAGCACACAATCGTAATCATGGCTGTTATGAATGAAACCAGTTCATGGCAGTCCAAAACATTGCTGTTAAAGGGATCATCACTGAAACAGCAATCAAAGTGTAGAAAAAAAAATCCCTGATCACCCACCAAAGTAGTACAGTGTTAGTATGGTGACCCTGGACTATTCTGATGAAAGTATGTAAAACAAAATAATAAAAAAAAAAAAATAACAAAAATGTTAATAAAATTGATTTTATTTACACACTGTTACCAGTCAGAATCCCTGATCAGCGCCACATCAGTCATATGATGATGCTGTGCAGCACTGGTGACAGTACGTAAAAAGAAAAATCGTGAAAAATATATATTTAATTTCTTCATTTACCAAAAAATTGTGATTAAAAACTACAACTTCAAAAAACTCATTATTTCTCCTACTAAATACCTTGGACTGTCTACTTTCAAAAAGGGGGTCATTTGGGGGGTATTTGTGCAGTCCTAGTATTTTAAGGGCCCCAAGGCAGTCAGTACATCAGGATTGATCACATTTTCATAGATATACAGTATACCATAGTTTATCTTCAGTTTATCACGCTATAACTCTCCCACAAACCAATTATTATACACCTATTGGGATTTTTTTTTACCAAAGAATACATTTTGGCCTAAGTTTAGGAAGAAATTTAATTTTATTCGATATGTTTTATACCAGAAAGTAGAAAATATACAGTAGGAGTTTTTTTTAAGATTTTCTGTCTTTTTTCATTTATATAGCAAAAAATTAAACTGACCTAAAGAAATCTCTATTTCTGTGAAAAAAGCTAAAAATGTAATTTGTGTACAGTGTTGATGATCAAACAATTGCTAGTTAAAGTAGCACAGTGCTAAATAGCAAAAAATGACCTGGTCTTGAAGTGGGTAAAACCCTACGGAGGTCAAATGGTTGAAATACTGTTCCCAGACTGTTCAACCACACTGAAAACCACAATTATTCTATTTATCTTTAGACACTGTTGCGTTTTAGAATATATATATATATATATATATATATATATATATATATATATTATACAGTGGGGATCGAAAGTTTGGGCACCCCAGCTAAGAATTTGTATTAATGTGCATAAAGAAGCCAAGGAAAGATGGAAAAATCTCCAAAAGGCATCAAATTACAGATTAGACATTCTTATAATATGTCAACAAAAGTTAGATTTTATTTCCATCATTTACACTTTCAAAATAACAGAAAACAAAAAAATGGCGTCTGCAAAAGTTTGGGCACCCTGCAGAGTTAATATCTTGTACTGCCCCCTTTGGCAAGTATCACAGCTTGTAAACGCTTTTTGTAGCCAGCCAAGAGTCTTTCAATTCTTGTTTGAGGTATCTTTGCCCATTCTTCCTTACAAAAGTCTTCCAGTTCTTTGAGATTTATGGGCTGTCTGTCATGCACTGCTCTTTTAAGGTCTATCCATAGATTTTCAATTATGTTGAGGTCAGGAGATTGTGAAGGCCATAGCAAAACCTTCAGTTTACGCCTCTTGATGTAATCCCCCATGGATTTCGAGGTGTATTTAGGTTCATTATCCATTTGTAGAAGCCATCCTCTCTTTAACTTCAGCTTTTTCACAGATGGCATCAAGTTACCATCCAAAATTTGGTGAAATTTTATTGAATCCATTTTTCCTTCTACTCATGAGATGTTCCCTGTACCACTGGCTGCAACACAGCCCCAAAGCATGATTGATCCAACCCCATGCTTAACAGTTGGACAGAGGTTCTTTTCATTAAATTCTGTGCCCCTTCTTCTCCAAAGGTACCTTTGCTCATTCCGGCCAAAAAGTTCAATTTTAACCTCATCGGTCCACAGAACTTGTTTCCAAAATGCATCAGGCTTGTCTATATGTTCATTT